GGAAAGCTGCTGGCCGCCACTCTGCTGCTGGCCCTGCTGGCCTGCTGCCTCACTGTGCTGTCTTTCTGCCGGGTGGCCGCCCTGCAAGCGGACCTGGAGAGCCTGCGGGCGGAACTGCAGGGCCACCCAGCTGAGCAGCTGCCAGCCCGCCCTGAGGCAGGAGCAGCAGCCCCCACGGCCACCCTGCAGGAAGCTCCAGCTGTCACCGCAGGACGGAGAGTGAGTTTGCAGCAGCTGCAGCCCTGGGCACGTTTCTGTATGCACGACTGCCTCTCCCCCACCTCAGTTGTCTTTGCAATAACCTGGGGTCTTTCTGTTCCTAGAGCATCTTCCCGCCACCAGCTCCAGGAGAAAGCCACTCGGGTCAGAACAGCAGGAATAAGCGTGCCATTCAGGATGCAGAGGAAACAGGTATGTTCTGGGCACAGAAACTCTTAGGAGTCAGGGATTCCAGTGTTCACAGGTGCAGAGAAAAACATCCAGTTTGGGGGAGGTACAGGTGTGCGAAACCTCTCTGAACCTTTTAAATAGGGACTGTGAAATTTGCCACCTGAACACAACACAGCTTTATAGCCAAGCCCTAGCTTGGGCAAATGTCATAGGCTGCCCAGTGTGCTTTGTCCTCCAATGAGCTGGTGTATGGGAAACAGTATGTATCTGTGCATAATTATTTATCTGTGCATTAAGCATAGAGAAGAAAAAAAGGGACACATGTTTTTTCTCAAATAGACAGTGTAGTCCTAAGTGAGAAACATTATCCATCATTCCAGAAAAACAGAAATAAAGCACTGTATGTTACTGCAGAATTAGTTAGTCCACCTGGGTCATAGAAAGTCAGTTAAAGATACATCCCCCGAGGGTGCATGGCACATCATGAAATCAAGGAAAGGTCACAGAGGGATTTTAAAGCTTTTCTTAAGTGTATGCTTTCCCAGGAGATCCATACGCTTATGATCTTCAGGTAACAGCTCTTCAGTGACATCTGCCTTTTGCCATATTTCACCTGTTCCATAGGATTTTATAGAGTTGGTGGGGCCCACCAGAATCATCAGTTCTAGTTCCTTCATTTCAAAGATGAAGAAAGAGTATTTGTATTGCATTTATTAACATTACAACTTAGTATGTCCTTGCAATTATTTCCCTTTTATATTGAAAGAACATTTTGTGAGCAGAGCCAGGCAGGTATGGACAGGGATAGGTATTTTCACACATGCTTAACCTTCTTAGTGATCTGTGAGGTCCACAGAACACAGGTAATTACTTATATATATCTTTACTTCTGAAGAGAAGTGTGTGATAGACATAGAGGTATACCAGGTACACTTTTGTTACACACACACACACACACAGACACACACACACAAGGTGCTCTGACTGTAAATTTATTTTTTCACATCACAAAGAAAATTCTTTCTTATTTTATAAAACCATGACTTTTTTGTATCTGGCTATCATATCTTCATGCTAGTTATCAGAAACATTTAGGTTTAAACATTTTTAAACTAGAAAACACTGACATTGTTACTGCTTTAACACATCAGTAATTTTTATATTTTGTAGAATATATTATTTATATTATCTACATAAATGAAAATAATATAGCATATATTTTATATATTTTTTTCATTTATTACAAATAGGCAGTTTTTCTACTTCTAAGTAATTTGTGTATATCTGTATTGACTTGTTATCATACAATTATTTAACATGGTTATTTCCATTTTTTTACAATAGAACGAACATGCAAAATTTTTGTGCAGATCTCTTGTATTTCTAAGGAATTCTATATTCAGTACAAACTTCATATAGTGGGATTTCTCAGCTAAAGAGAATGAACATCTCTGTCACCCTTGCTGCCTATTGCCACATTATTTTCAAAATGAGTCATAAATGTACACAATGAAAAGTGTAGTGTACCAGTTGTCCACACTCTTACTAGCGTTCCAGCTTTTAAAATTTATTTTGCTGGTTTATTAGTTGTAAAACAGTATCTCAAATTTATTTTAATGTGTTGCTGGTTTACTAATAAGAATGAACTTCTTCCTGCATATTTTCATTACTTCTAATTTTATCTTTTGCTAATTTCTATTCATAACTTCCCCTGTTTGTCTGTCCTGATTTTTTATAATTTTGAATAAACTCTTTCTAATTAGACATACATATTAACCGCCTATCAAAATTTTGATGTAAATATTTCCACAGTATTTTGCTCCTTTTTTACCCTTGTACAGAGATTTTGCATCTGTGTATGTTAATATGACCATCTTTTCCTTTTGACATATTAACCGCCTATCAAAATTTTGATGTAAATATTTCCACAGTATTTTGCTCCTTTTTTTCCCTTGTACAGAGATTTTGCATCTGTGTATGTTAATATGACCATCTTTTCCTTTTTATTTTCTCTAATACGTCAAAAGTTCATGACCTCTTGAGTTGTCTACTCTATTCCCTGCTAA